ACGCATTGATCGTAAAGATCATGTATAGCTAGTCGTTTTTTATGAATGTTTATTTCATATTAGAATCAAACATCAACGTCGCAAGATTGTGATGATTACATATATTAGGCTGAACGCTTTTTTGTAATTGTATGCAATAGACGTATAGTTCTAACGCAAATATGCATTTGTTCCGACTTTATATTCCATGTATAACTGATCAAGTCAGTGACATATAACTTTATTAAAATAACGATATAACTATTATTGTTTGTTACATTTACCACATGATAATAATAAACGATCAGCTAAATTTTGCTCATCCAAAATATTTTCCCTTGCTTTTTCATTGTCATCCAACTTTTGATAGCCTGCAATGTTGCTGGCTCTTTGGGAAAGTAAGTTTACACAACATTCTCGACACTACGGATTGTTGTATCTTGCTCTTACCGCCTGAAATGTCTCCCTTGCACATTTTGTCTGCGTTGTTCCACAGTTTGATCGGATTTCTTGACCATTTCTCATCATCGTCAGGTTTTTCTAACTTTCTTCGTTTCACCTCCACTCCATTATAGAACTTTTGAACAGCAATTTTTCGGCCAGAATTAATTGATTCGCACTAATTATGGATGTGCGTTGGAGAAGATACTCATCAATGGCCAGATTTCTTTTGGTAATGTCAAATGTCTTCAATATCTTGTGCTGTACTTCAGTTGTTGCTGTTGTTCTTCTGGTACGTTCAGCAACTCCTTATCAATGTTTCCCCACAAAAATACGTATCCCCATTATTGTCGTGTGAAATACTGTCTCAACTCTGGACTATATAATGGATTGTTGAAACGTTGTTCTGCATTAGGCGTTACCGTGCAGGCACGGCACATGTAATAGATGCTGCATTTGATTGCCATGCCGTTCCCTTCGAACTTTAAGAAATGGTATGTTGTTCATATATAATGTCCAATTGTCATTGCTTGAGAAGACATCCTAGCTCACTGTTTCACCATCTTCTACTAAAACATCGTTTTTCTATCTCCTCCTTATTTTCGGTTAGAACATATTCGGTAAGCACGTCCTCCGATGAACATCTGTTTCGGGTTAAGAGAGGGGATCCCATATTTAGAACGGTTTGATTGATTGTTAGGTCAAGCTGTTCAGTTCCCAACAGCCAGTCCCACAATTTAGCTTCTCGTTCAGCTTCGGGTAATGTTGTTAAATTGAGCTTTCAATTGGTAATTGTAATAAGCGTAATCATTCTAGCGGATAATCTAACATACAGTACGACA